GGGCTCATGATAACACATTACCTTTAAATATCCAATTAAATTTTGTTAAAAGAGAGAGTTGTTATAATCTTAAGGGGATAGAAAGATTTGTGAAACCTAAATTTCGAACTAGTTTGAAGGGACGGTCTACTTCAATCCAAGGAATTAGATTATGGAATAATCTGGAGAGTGATGTCAAAAATGCGTATGTTTAAGAGAATGATCAAAGCTGGTTTGTTAAGAAAATATGAAATAGCTTAATGTGTATTTGTATGAATTGTTGCTCGAGAAGGAGTTCTTTATTTTGTTTTTGTTATTTGAAGATTATTATTGTTTGAATTAAGTTTTTAGAAAAAAGGGGCAGATATATCTAATATTTTTTTCTTCTGTCTGCCGCCTTTCATTTTATCTGTGACTGCGTTTCTTATTGTATGTAAAATTGTGTTTTTGTTTTTAAAAAATGAATAAACTTTATAATAATAATGAAAAGAAGACGAGAGTTGTTGCAGCGACCTCTTTATGTGGTGATGATGCAACACCTCTGGGCAGAGTTCTCCTCCACGCCCATGATCATTGAGGCTTTTTTCTGGATGCATCCAGATTCCCAAGAGTGATCTGTGAAGCTTTAACCGTTTTTTTATCAATAATACTCCTGACCTGGACTTTGTAAACATTGACTGCCACTATAGGGTCATTTGCTGGCCAGTCTGTGAAATGCTCCAAGGCGCTGTCCTACAGATGTTAGACAGATGTCTAAACCGTGCAAGTTTACTCTTAAAACATAAACGTAGAATCTCCATCTTCTCACTGAGATTAGTTTTGGATGCATTGTTGAATTCTCACTCCCAAAGGAAACTGAGCTTATACTGAAGAAGCAGCTGTGCCCCTAAATATAAGCAGCAGATCCTTCAACAGAAAATGCCATCTAGTAATATTTTATGATCTTGTAGTGGAGCAGGTCAAACTGAAAACCATCTGATTCTGGTCTCCAGACAGGTCCATACTTCCACAAAACCTCGTAAAAACTCAGCTGAATTATTTCAGCGATGACTCTCTCGTGTTGTCTGGCTCGTTTTGGTTTAGTCCTACTGAAACTAGACGATCTGCGTGACCCAATTAGTTCAGTTTTAGGTTGCTGTTTGTAGTTTATGAATTTTGATCTTCACAAGTGGATTTTATGAGGTCAGATACCTCTGCATCCAGCTTTCCTCCCCTGTGGCTTCTCTGTTTTTCTTCTCTGTCAGTATTTGGTGCTTTGCTCCCTCAACAGATTTATGCATGCATCTGTGTGTGCATAAGCTGTAGTATTCCAATTGTATCCTAACAGCCCTTTAAGGAATGTCTCAATTATGTGCCAAAAATCTGACAATCATTGTGTCCTAAGGTGATTTTTGGAAACACAGAGGTAATGCTTAATGTTCTGAGGTGTATCGCTCATGTAGAAAGCATTTGTCACTTGTTTGCTTTGAATTCCCTGCATGCAGAGCTTTCAGTGCACTAATGGAAGTGAAGGAGGGGGGGGGGGATCAAGCTGCTGGCTAAAAGCCAAAAATAACTTGTTTTTTTATGGCCAGACCACAATGGATTCTCCTCCTGGAGAATGAGATAAATATTAATTTTTAGTGGCTTCCATCCCAGATGAGGGAGGACGTTTCTAACCAGGAAGAGAGTTAAGCAGCAAAACATGAGGTCACGTTGATGCCAACGGCGAGTAATGTGAGTTATTATGCAGACGGAGCGCTGCAGGAGTATTTGCTAAATACTGGAATAAAAAGATACATGAAACTATAAAATCCCACTAAAAATTGTGCTCACTTAGTGAACTGTTAATCTAGATTATTCAAGCCACTACGCTGCTTTTTTTTTTTATTTTAAGCAGTGGTGGGATGTAACTAAGTACAAGTACTTTGTTACTGCATTTAAGTACATTTTTCATGTATTTGTTCTTTGCTTAAGTAGAGTTAAACATGGGTACTTTCAACTTTTACTCCACTAAATTTTACATCTGTACTTTCTACTACACTACATTTCTATAATGCGTTGCGTTACAAGTTACATTCTTGTTGCATTTTTTTGATTTGTTTGTTAGTTTGAAAGTAATCAATGGTGAGAGGGGAGTTGTTTCATTTAATCACTGCAAAGTGGGCGGGTAACGTTAAACCTGCCTTCAAGAAATGGATTCCACCACGGAGAGTCAGACAGAAGATACACACCACCCATGGCCTTATTGAAAGACTATTGAAAGATTATTGAAAGACTATTCAGTACAGCTGGACAGATTCTCTCTCCCAAAAGAGCCAGACTGGACTCAAAAAACTTTGAAAACCAATTTCTTCTGAACTTGAACAATAAATTCTTGCTTCAACATTAAAATGTGTCAGTTCATGGGATGTTAGGAGACAAGAGATGTCTCTAAATGGCTCGACACTCAGGTCCAAGTTTTGAAAATGGTGTCAGGAAGTTAAAATATCGTTCACTATTGACCCATTACAAGGTTGACCAGACAGTATTTTAACTAGAGTTGATGACAAACTGGAGTTGAAATGATCAGAGTCTATTCCTTTGTTAGATCTGTCTAATATTCCTTTTTTTCAACTTTTACTTAAATGTGTTTACTGCAGTTAAAATGACACATTTTGCTTTGTGTTAAATAAAAACTTTCAAAGGTACAATCATTCTTCTTATTTTACTTAATGGCATATAACTCCGCAGGTCATCCGTGAAATTCTGATGCACAGAATCACAAGTCCAGGTGTGAACTGTGTCACAGAGTAAACACAATAAAAACATGTATTATCTGCAGCATTGTTCAGTAAAATGACACAACACTATTAATGTATTACAGAAAATATACATATTTTTAAAAGCAAGTACTTATTTACTTTTACTTAAGTAAAAACATTAATGTGGTACTTCTACTTTTACTAGTGTACATTTTTGTCTGTTTATTTGTACTTTTACTTAAATACAGTGTTTGAGTACTTTTTCCAACACTGATTTTAAGTAATTGTTAATTGTATCATAAAGTCGTGTTTTCATTATTTTCATGTCCAAGTCTCAAACGTAGATCCTGTTGTGTTGAGAAATGTTTATGTTGGTCCTTTAAAGTCCGAACAATGACTTTGTGGGTAATTACATGATGTCAAGCTCAGAGTATGTGTTGTGAATGATCCTCAGCTACTACCACATCAAATATTAGCATAATATAATAGGTAACAGTTATTGACGTTTTTGTGTTTTTAAAGGTCTGTTGGCAGCCATCTCGATTTGGGTTGACAATCAAACGCAGGCAAAAATGTTATCATCCACCTTTGTCTTTCAGGGTTGGTCAATAATTAAGCAACAATTATTAACGTGTATGTTAAATAATTTGTACCTTGAAGACACGCTGTCCGTGCTTCTGCCTGCAGCAAAGACAGAGCTTCCTCTTTCTCATCAGGCCTCTACAAGCAGCGCCTTGTTCCTACAGATTACATAATAATTCCTTAAGCAGATGGATGAGGTCGGATCACAGGATGTTTGTGACGGGTCAGAGACGAGCGCTGCCTTTAAGACGGGACGTGGCAGCTCCATGTGAATTGCATTGTTTTCCACACAGAGAGGAACCACAGAGAGGGCTTTTACATTAGGCTCATGTCAGCTATTGATTCTGCCGGCCAGAGAACAACAGAAGTGTTTTTTTATTTCTCCTCCTCCTCCTCCTCCTCCTCCTCCTCTCATCTGTATGCTCTGAGAAAGTGTGGCGACTCCCATCGCAGCATCTTTGCTCCTTGTCTTCGTGCTGTCAGAGCAAAGCAGGAGACTGAACCTGGACTTTTAATCTTTTCTATCCAGAAAAACAGGATCTGATATTTCCCTTAACCTAGCTTAATAATGATTAAAATATACTTTAGATGACTTTTATGTTTTAGTTTATATTAAACTGTTCATTCAAAGTTATTTAGTAAAGATCATGCATAAAAACATTACATTCATAAAGAGACAGAGTGCCATATTTAGCTAATGGCAATTTTCCATCTGCAGTCCCAAAGCAGGTAAACATGATACCCACAAAATAAAATACACGCTCTCATAATCAATACCACCAACAGAAAATGGCCTCTGGTTACTTTGGAAATTGAGTATATATATTTTCAGGAATGAATCAAACATGCCCTGAAGGAATCCATACTGCTGGCCACCTTGCAAAGTTTAGTGGGTCTGTCCCATTCAAGGATTTTTTTATTGTCATACCAGCTCACATTTGCATGTTTGTGGTATGAAATTCGGACTCAAGACCCAGATCAAGAAGCCTAACAATTAACAAATAAATAAATACAAAAGAGTACAAATAAATAAAGTTTAAAAAAAAAAGCTGAATGAAGTGCAGCTCGAGTTCAGCAGTCTGACAGCTGCAGGGGTCTTGCTCTGAATGCTCCTCAGCTGCCTGCTTGAGGGGCGGGGCTTGAACAGACTGTGTGCAGGATGAGTGGAGTCCTTCATGATGCGGAGCGCCCTCCCCTTGCATCGTGAAGTGTAGCGGTCCGAGGTGGTGGGAAGAGTGCTCCCCACAGTCTTCTGTGCAGAATTAACCACCCTCTGCAGAGACATCCTCTCAGCAGCAGTGCAGCTGCCGTGCCACACGGTGACGCGGGTGCAGAGAACGCTCTCCAGGTCGGTAGCCTATTCAAGATGGCCACCACTGCTAAACACAGAAATGGCTCTAACAACTAATTTTACAGACAATGAAATAAAATTTTATGTGATAGTAGCTGAGATTTACCCCCAACACACACCCCAATTGCTACCTGAGTGAGATTTGTGTTTAAAACTTTGCCTTTAAATATCAGATCCCCCTCAGTTTGTGTAGCAGAAATATCCCCCGAAACACTGGAATGATTTGAATGAAACTCATAAAAATTAATCAACATGTCTTTCATTTGTGTCTGCAATTGACTATGTTGGAGATTTTCCATGAAACGGCGGATAAAGTTTTGTATTCAGAGTTGCTTTGAGTTTTTGAATGTGTTTGTCCTCCGCAGGCGGGGGCCTCGTCCATGTGGGCGTCATGCTGCGGGCTGCTGAACGAGGTGATGGGCACGGGGACGGTGCGAGCGCAGCAGCCGGGCTTCGGAGCTGGAGCGGGGCCCTTCCGCTTCGCCCCAAGCACAGGGTACTCCACCTACCCCCCCACCAGCTCAGGGAGTGCCGGGCAGCTGTGCAAAGCTTGCGGACTGGCCTTTTCTGTCTTCAGACGCAAGGTTAGACAGTGACTAAAGCCAACTAACAATAAGTGGGTTTCTCTGAAGTTTAGAAGCTTTGACGGGGCCAAAGATACTTGAGCTACACAATTTAATATTTAAAATAATCGTCTAATCTTAAAATATTTTAAAATTTATTCTGGTATATCCTTTTCATATTACAATCATTTTCTCCAAACAGGTGTGGTCTTAAAATGCAATTACATATGTACCGTATTTTTCGGACTATAAGGCGCAATATCAATGAACGGGTCTGTTTTCATACATAAGGCGCATTAAGTGAAACAAAACAGTCAGATAAGTCAAACTTTATTCAACTCATTCACAATAATACATAAAATCAGTTTGAGGTCAGTAAGCACAACCGGAATTAAAATACAGTATTGCACATGCGTGCTCTTTGTAACTGTCCCATGATGCGGAGCAAAAAAGGGGGAATTGGAAATTCCCCCTTTCGGTCCGTTCATGAATGTTTTGAGCGTGATAACTTGAAAACTGAGGTACCAACTACTATTTTGCTGTGTGCCTGCATCAAGGCATATGAAAGTTTCCTTTCAAAAACTGGGTTGCCACATCAAAATCCAAGATGGCCACCACCATATAGATTTAAACCGGCCACCCCATCACTTGAGGAAACTATGTTTTCTAGTTTTTATATTGCTTAAAAGTGTAGTCTTCTCAAATGATTGGGGTGGCCAGTGAGGAGGCTGAAAAATAATCTATGGTGACCAAGGCCACCATTGGCCACCCCCTGACTCCACCATTACACATGGTGGTGGATCAAATTGCTCCCTCCATTTGCCAGGATCCATCACACTGCACCACCTTGGGCAGGAAAAAACTACTTCTGTTCTACACAATGTAACTCCTATACACTTGAATATCTTGCACCAAAAACATTAAGGTTTACTTGTATTCTTTGTGCAGTTCCAGAACAGAAACATCTTGAAAACTACAAACATTCACTATTCAACTCCCTCAGCTACGAGACACATCAGCGTACCTCTGGTTTAGTTAGATTTTTCCTGTTTTTTTAATTTGTTAATACCTGGATCTAATTTTCTTTCATATTTGAGAGCAGAAACTTTGAGTTATGTCTGAGAAACAATCTGATACTTACCTAATTTCTAAGTTATGTTTGATTTACATGTTGCCTTGTAGTAACACAGTAGTTCAGACATTTCCAGGATCTCTGCCCAGCTCAGAGTTTTTTTTTTTGCCTGAACACATCTGTCTTCCAGCCTGACAGCTGATACAAACTCTGCTTCCTCACAACTAAAGATCATGCTTTCATCCTCCACACACTAGTTGCCTTTTCTGACAGCGGGTCGACTCCTGTTTGAATATCTTTGCAGTATATTAAAAAAAAAGTCCTGCCAGAGGGATTAACAGCTGATTGAAGAAAAGCGTCTGTTGAGCTGGAAAATGTGCTCGTGGTGGATGTGGAGCCAGTTGTGCTCGAGAGATAAGAAAATGTTCACCACCGTGTCTGACCTGTTTTTCTGTCCATTTGAAGTGTCGTTTGACTCCGTCGCTCTGCATCAGTGTTAAACCTGTTAAATGTCAAATATCACCGGGAGCTACTGGAGCTTTTCTTTGCTCTGTTCTGGAAATGACCGGTTTAAAGTTGGTCTTTTTTGTTGCCGTCTTACATAGATGTCTGTTTCGCACACAGGCAGGTGATGGAGAGCTGAAACGAGAGATTACACAGTAAATTTATACATAAATTTGAATATTGATCAGAATTTACTTCTCTGTTGTGTTTCTTTGTATTTTTCCCATTTTATTGCCCTAAACTGTATCTCCCTTTTATGCTTCTGTATGCAAAATGCACTGTTGTGCTACTTAAACAATTAGCTTGTTTATTTAATGGACTCTGACAGCATGTGTCTCATCGTAATTAACAATTTGCGTAAAGTGTATCGATGTGTTCAAGTGCTGAAAGTGCCCAAAAAAAAAAAAATAGCGCTAGCAGCTAGCAGAGTCCTTTGCTGTGTTTTGTTTGTTTTTGGACGTTTCTGAGCTCCAATTCAGAAAATTGAGCTAGAACACCACCCAAAGTGAAATTCAGACTTGAAAAGTTTCATATTTGTTATAAGCTCAAAATCCAACACTACTTCCTACAAAATGGTAGAAGTTGCTGCATTAAACTTTTTGAGCTTCTGTCAGTTTGTGTATTAGGTGTATTTAAACTTGTTCGTTTTTGACCTCCTTCCAAAAGTCAAGTTTTGTTGCTCTATTGTGCAGATTTTTGTGTGTTGGCTCCTAAAGCCTTTCTTCTTTATTTAGGTTTAGCAAAGCAGAAAGATGCACAGAAATAAAGGAGCACGACATAGAAACATCCGCGTGACCAGAAAAGAAAATCACTGACTTTGCTACATCAAGGACAAAGACAAAAAAATTAAAAATTATTTAAAAAAATGAATGGTGATAAAACATTTTGAGACAATACAATAATGAATTACAGAAATGATTTTTTTTATTACATATTTGAATTTTAAAAAATGCTTTTCTGAAAGGGTAAAGAATCGTGAGAATAATAAAATGTAGGAGAAAAAAGCAAAAAATGCTATTAAATAATAGATGGAGATAAACTAGTAAACACTTTTTTAATTATTATTATAGTATCTTTTTTAAACATTTTCACACTTCCTTTAAATTTTTTTAATTATTTTGGCAGCTTTTGTCTTCCATAAATTGACTCCTAATCCCCTTTTTATAGCAGTCATGATACATATTTAAAGAGATCTGACTCTAAAGAAATATCCATCCAATCTAAAATTATGTCACAGTTCATTTTTGTTTCATCCATTAAAGCAGCCGTAAAGCTCCTTTGCTCTATTTGTCAGCACTTCCATCAGATAAACCTGCAGCTGGTTCATTTATTCATCAAAGTAACACGAACAACAAACAGTTTGTTACACTGAGTTACACATCAGAGCCTTGTTTAAAAAAAAAAACAGATGAAAAATAAACTCGAGGACAAATCTGGTTGCTTCATTCAGAAGAAAACCGGTTGATCGTGTGCATCTGTAAGCCTTGCTCCTCTATTCTGCAGCACATCTGCTGTGACTGTAAGAAGAGTTTCTGCGCTCTTTGCTCCGTGCTGCAAGAAAACCTGCGCTGCTGCACGACCTGCCACCTGCTGCGGGGCACGGCCTTCCAGCGGCCTCGCCTCATGCGGCTCCGAGTCAAGGACCTGCGCCAGTACCTGCTGCTGCGCAACATCCCCACAGACATGTGCAGGGAGAAGGAGGACCTGGTGGACCTGGTGCTCTGCCATCAGGGGGCACGGGAGACCTCGACGCCTGTGATGGAGGAGGATGAGGACGAAGAGGAAGAGGAGGAGGAGGAGAAAGAGGATGAAGATGAAGACGACGACACAGACAGTCTGCACTCGCTCCCCCACTCGCGTGCAGCGTCTCCCCCGTCGGCGACGCGCTCCACCTCTGAGCAGTCGGTCCTGTCCGCCTCTCAGGGAGACGCGCTCAGTGACAGTTCAGGGACCACCAGCCAGGTTTGTGCTCCACCCCACCACACACGAAAACATCACTCCCTGATTAACACACGCTGCACTTCCTTCACATCTGGCCTCATTCTGTCCAAAAATCATTAATTTCTGAGGTGTAACAAACATATTTACAAGATTCACAGAGGCTGTTTGAAGTCAGACAAACATCCGTCCTCTTGTGGAAACACAACCCATATTCCATGAACGTTGGGACGATGTGTTGAACGTAAATAAATCACAATGTAATGATATGCAATGCATATAAATCCATATTTTATTTACACTAAAATAAACATCTCAAATACTCTGGCAAAAAAATTTGTTTTTATTAATTTTAATTTTATGGCAGCAATAGAAATGGGGAAAGGTGCAACAAAAAGCTCTAAAGTAAATAGCTGCAACAAGTCAGTAAACAAACGGGATATTTTTAGAAAGGCTGAATCTCTTAGAAGTAAAGATGGTTCACCAGTCCGTGAAAAACTATCTATAAATAGTAGAGAAATGTTCCTGAACGGAAAATTACAAAAGTTTTGAATATCTCATCATCTGCAGTTCATAATATTATCAAAAGATTTCTAGAATCCAAAGAAATCTCTGAGCACAAAGTTAATGATGGATGCTCGTTATGTTCAGGACTTCAGGCGGCGTTGCGTTAAAAACGGGTCTCATTCTGTCATGAACATCACTGCACGGGCTCAGAAACCCTGTCACAACTCAGTGTCTGTGAACACAGTTCACTGAACCATCCACAAATCCAAGTTAAAGCTCCATCATACAAAGAAGAAACCATATATGAACACCATCCAGAGACGCGACTGTCTTCTGTGAGACAAAGGCCACTTAAAATTTAAAAAACTGATCAGCTTAATCAGACTGTCAAATTGTGTTTGCAAACCTCATAGGCCTCATCTTCTATAATAAAGAGGAGAGGGACCCTGTTATCAGCACCTATAAAGAAAAAAATCTGCCTCTCTGATGGTATGGGGGTGCATAACGTTTCTTAATTTAGACCTTTATGTTATGTTCCATTGTGAATATGATTTTAAGGGATCTGCAGATCACTACACTTTGTTTTCATTTACATTTTACACAACATCCCAACTTTTCCAGACTTGGGATTGTAGGTTTCTATGTTGTGTTCTGCTCCTGGATGTTATGAATGAATCCTGAAAATCCTCTGCGCTTCAGTGAATTCTCAGCGGTCAGCGTCCACGTGACATCTGGAAACAGCTGTGTTTGTGTTTCATCTCGGAGCCGTCAGAGCAGCTAAAGCTCTTTAACTTTGTGTTTGTTACGTCGGCCGCTGATTCTATTATGTAATGGATGAAAAATAAATAAATAAAAAAATAAAACTTCCCACAGTGCCAGGGTAAATAAACACCACATCACAGCATGCAACATTATTTTTCTGTGAACTTTTATTATTTTTAACATTTAAAATGATTGGATGTTTTTACTTATTATGGCAACCAAATATATAATAAATATTGAGCAGACTGACATATTTTGGCACTTTATGACTTGATCTTGTTTATGAAGACAATAAAACCAAATGCAAAAAAAAAAAAAACTGATTTTAGATTTAAAGTAAATTATTCAATTAAAATCTGAAACCAGCCGTAACTGAATGTGTTTGTGCAAAAAGAATTAAACATTGTTGCCAAAAAGTTAAAGGCAGACAACCATATTTAGCCCCATGTCTGTGTGTGAGTTTGTCTGTTAGCAAAATATTTTACTAACCACTGGACAAATTTCAAGGAAGCTTTCAGAAAATAATTAATAGATCTGATTAATTTAGAACCATCCCAGTTTAAAACAACCTCTACAGCAAAGTAGCTTTGAATTGTAGCCATTTTGGCTTTTTGTAGTCAATTTTACAGATACTGAGCAAACTTTTTGCATGGTAGTAGCTGAGAGTCATTCTTAACACAAACTCAGAGCACAAATTAATTTTGCAGTTATTGCGTAAAATTGCACATGACATTCGTTTTTACTGTTTTGATGTAAAACTCCTGAAGTGAGGTAAGAGTTGCTGCCAAAAACGGCTTTAGCTTCATCATTTCTCGACATGAGATGATCCTGATCTCCAGCTCTGGCACGAAAGGTGGCGGGTGATGTGCACTCCAAGGGAAGCTTAGTCTATTTTATTTCAAGAAGCGATTAAAAATATGTTGTCCAGATCTTATTTTCACAGATCTAATTAATGCTTTGCACGTGGCAAAAAAATCCTTAGTGTTTTTTTTTTTTTTTTTGTTTGGAAATACATCTGTCTTCTGAAGAGCAACCTTGGCTGGATGTTGTTTCTCCTGGAGATAAAGGTGTTTTTAGTTTAGTGAATCTTAGCAGTGTTGTTAAATTGTCAAAATGTTCTGTCGGAGAGTTAAAGAAGTCTGGGAGCTGTGTGGTGGTTCACAAGCAGAAAAAAAACTTTATTTCTTACTTGAATGTTGCAAAAATAAAACTAATTCAGAAAATCAATATAAACTGAAGCAGAAGATCAACTGAAACAAATACATGACAGTAACTAAAGAACAACAAGCTGAAGGAATCTGCTGAAAAAGACAACAAGCCAAACAAAACCCTGTTTCAATATAAAACATGGAGCAAAGCTAAATAAAACTTGAGTAGAAACATGGCTAAGTGCAAAGCTCGAAGGATAGCAGAACAAAATGAAACTGAAAATTCTTCAGCAGTGACTCCTGCTCCAGGTCTGCATCTCTGAGGAGCCTGGTCTGGTCTCAGGCCTTGTGACGCTGACGGATGCATTATTAAAACCTCTTCATTAGACGACCGCTGAGGCACAGAGAGACGTTTTGTTTTATTGCACCGAGGTGGAAACCTTCATTATAAATATTACAGGCTGCTTTTTGTCAAACAGATAAAAGAAGAAAAGTACACAAGTCTCTGAGAGAATACCGATTTGCATCACATTCAGAGTCTGGAACTTTAACGTGGCTCCTTTTATTCTCCTTTGAAGCCAGCAAAAATTATTACTATTAGTTATTTTCCTGAGCTCAGTCAGCACTCATAGTCAGAAGTAGTTTGACAATATACCATACCATACCGCTTTATTTATAAAGCACTTAAAAACAGCAACAAGGCCAATCAAAGTGCTGTACAGTAAAAAACAAACAAGCAAAGGACATAGCAAAATACATAGAGCCAAATATGTAAAGGTAAGAACTAAATGGTTAACATTATAGAATACATCTATCCCAGTTATAAAGAAAAGAGAAGAGGACCGAGGATGGAGCCCTGCAGTACCCCCCACAGAAGAGCAGCCAATTTTGAACTAAAACCCTTGAAGTGACACAATATGAATAATATATTACAAACTATAATCAAAGTGCAGCTTGTGTTATTTTGTTTTAGACACATCTTAGGTTTAAAGACGTAAAGGAATAAAAAAGTAAACAAATTTATGGGATAAAGTGATGTAAATAGTTACTTTAAATAAGTTCCATGATGCAACATCTTTAGGAAGACAAAGATAAACATGGGGAAAAGTCTTGAAAACTTTTTATAACAGATGTAAAAAATTACCTAAACATATTTTAAACAGAGATTCTTAAAGGAGCACGAGGCAGACCACTGCAACATATTGCTCTCTGTACTCAGAAATTTTATATTTGAGCAATAATTCCTTTTGAGCCTTGTGAGCCTTTTATGAGCTGTCAACGTCACAAACAAACTTTAAAAATCAGCATTGCTTTGAAGGTTTAACAAGTGAAAACAGATTTAACTTTTGATTTTTCTGCCACACAGGAGCACGAGGATACCCCAACAGCGTCTCTTTTGAACCTGGAGCCCGCTGAAAGCATCTTAGAGGTGTGCTGCTTGTTTCTGTTCACATCCACAGAGATGACTGATGGTTATCTGACTGAACAAAGTCGTTCTGCTGAGTTGGGTGATCACAGCTGTGCTCCTGTGCAGGTCAGCCCAGCAACGCAGAGGAGGATCAGGGCCTCGCTGTCTGATCTCGACAATGAAGAGGCGATAGAGAACCTCTCCGTCCGACAGCTTAAAGAGATTCTCGCCAGGAACTTTGTCAATTACTCCGGCTGCTGCGAGAAGTGGGAGCTGCTGGAGCGCGTGCATCGACTCTACAGGGAAAACGAACAGAACAGGAAATCCAGTGAGCTTTGATTGTTTTTGATAAAAACGATTCACATTGGGTTTGATGTTTCGTGTAACTAAAATGAATTTATTCTTCTTTTATAGTGGAAAATGTGAGCATAACTGCAGGTAACTCGAGACATTTTTTCTGTAAAACAGTGTGACCGCTGAGCGCTGACAGCTAAAATTTGCTGAAGAAGATGAAACCAAGTTGCTAAAGTTAAATGAAGCAGAATGGAGACTAAAATGAGTGAAACAGGGCCTAAAATAAGCAGAACACAAGGTAAAAGTAGCTAGAAATTAAAAACAGCAAAATGTTCATTTAAACCAGCAACCGAAGCTGCAGATAAGTAGCTAAAATAGTAGCTAAAATTATTAAGTGATACAAAATTGCCTAAATTGCTACTAAAATTAGCAGAAAATATGATAAAACCAACACGATTGTAGCTTGAAGAAGCTAAAAGTTGCTACAAATAAAATTAGATGACGTATCAAAAACTAACAAAACAATAGTTTAAAGCAGTGGTCCCCAACCCTGGTCCTTGAGGAACACCATCCTGCATGTTTTAGTTGTTTCTCTGCTCCAACACACCTGATTCAGTAATTACTTCCTCATGTTCTGCAGAAGCTGGTTAATTACCTATTAATTCAAATCAGGTGTGTCGGAGTAGAGAAACAACTAAAACATGCAGGATGGTGTTCCTCAAGGACCAGAGTTGGGAACCCCTGGTTTAAAGAAACAAAAAGTAGGTTAACTATACAAAATGGATGGCAAATCTAAAAAAGGCTAATCAGTAGTAATAATAATAATAATGATGATGATGATGATGATGATGATGATGATGATGATGATGATGATGATGATGATGATAATACATTTTATTTGTATAGCACTTTTCTGAATACTCAAAAAGTAGCTAAATTTAGCAAAACAGTAGCTAAAAAAGGCAGATAGCTCAAAGCCACCAGCAGAAGAATAGTAGCAAAACCTAAAAGTATGAAAACTATAGCAAAAAGCTAAACAGTAGCTTAAAGCTAAAAGTAGCAGAACAATAAAAATAAGCTCAAAGTGGCAAGATGGTAGCTAAAAGCTACAAGCAGCACTAGATGACAAAAACCAAGCAAGCATAGTGAAGTAGATTTTGGGAGGAAAAACTGATTGTGAAGGAATTGAGGAAATCTCAATGTATTTCTATTGAAAATGTATTTTAGATAAAGTAAATCATTTTGACAAGTATAAAAATATGAAAGTCAAAACACACTACTCTGCTGAGCTGAACACTTTAATAGTTAAATAGTTAAAATAGCTTAAAGTATGTGGAAGTAGTTTGACTGCAAAAGATGAAGAAGAATTTATAAGCAGGGAAACGGAAAAGCTGACTCAGCATTCACATAATCACTGAAATATTGAAATAAGCTAATAACACAGCCAGCGCTCTAATGTAGGGAAACATTTGATGCAAAAAATATTGTAGAGTTTTCTCATTTTCTATTGTTTTTGCAGTTATCCATTATTTTCTACGCTAACACTTTTTTATTGCTGCTTCTTTTCATCTTTAAAGTGGTCGCATATCCTCCATCTCTTTGCAACAGTCGAGTTGGAGGTAAGATATTATTTAAAGAAAGTCATCCTCTTCCTCCATGGTGTGCACTGCATTCATCCACCACCAGTGAACATTAAAAGCATGCTGCACTCAGTTGTTCATGATAATTCAATCCTTTACATCGTGTTAGTTAATATGGTCACTTTCCTGCCTGGTTCAGTGCCTCCACATACGCTTATGTGTCTTTATATGTGTGTGTGTGTGGGGGGGGGGGGGGGGGTCTCAGCCTCTCATCCTGTCACTAATGTGCTCCATTAAAGTTTTTACATGATGATGAGCCATCGTTTTTCCTTCAGTGGCAGCACGTCTCTGTCAGGTGTAATTACATTGTCGAGCATCCTCGCTGACAAAAACGAGCTCGAGGATCTTATTAGCCCACTTAGCATTCAGCTGCTCTGGAAGGCTGCAGGCTGAGTGACTTTTTGTTTTTGTTTCTCCAGTTAAGACAAAAGCAGAGGGAGCCAGATTTAGGTCAGATCGGTCTTCTGACTCCCATAAGTCAATGCCCTGACATGATTTAACAGATTGGATTCACGTGTCCTTCCAACTGATTGGACTGGGAAAACAGTCAGGTGCACGTATGTTAAAAAAAATGTCAAGAGTTTAACCAAATGCAGAGAAAACTGTATCACAGTTTGAGTAGCTATGGGTGACATCTAGATAATAAAACTGCAGATTGCCACCAGCTGAAAACCTGTTGACAGGATGTATTATTGTCTGTAGCTGATTTAAAGTAACACCACATTTAGCTACAAATACAATTTGTTAGCTACATGCTAAGCTTCAAAATCCTTACTTGTAATAGAATCAAGCAGAATAACTCTTTAAAGGAATGCTTTTTCACCTGCTGCCTCGCATGCCAAAAATGTAAAGATCGCACATCAGTGTTCAGAGCATGTGACGTAGATGACTCTCAGCTACTACCACAGCAAATTTAATCTCTTCACGGACATCTTCATCCACAGATGGCGTCAAAGCTCAGCTGGTGGGGGACGAAAACCTCTGCCGCATCTGCATGGATGCCATCATCGACTGCGTGCTGCTGGAATGTGGTCACATGGTCACCTGCACCAAATGTGGGAAGCGGATGAGCGAGTGTCCCATCTGCAGGCAGTACGTGGTGCGGGCCGTGCATGTCTTCAAGTCCTAAAATGGCAGCCCTCGGGCGTGCGCATGGCCCCCCCTCAGTGTCCCTCTGAGGACGAACTGCTGTGCATGACGTCTCGCCGGGCCCCATGCTGCAGCAGGCGGGAGCAACTTCCCCGGTCTTTCCGACCAGACTGTTGCCTGTGGCCTACAGAGGTTTGTCCCCCTCCCCTCCTCCCCCTGGACCCACCTCGCCGTCAGTGGACCTCCATCGGCTGCACACAGTCATCAGTACGCTGCTCTTCGTTTGGCTCCAGCTCGCAAGAGACAAGTGGCGGCGGTCTTGTGGATACTTGGAGAGGGTCTGCTTGTTGTTGGTGGCGACGCACGGCACTGTGCAAAAGTTTTAAACCACCCCTGCTTCCTTATCTGGACAGAAAATTATTGAATGAAGCGGGAAAAGTGCAAAAAGAGACCTTCAGATAGTCTTTGGAACCAGTGACTCCACATTAAAAAGAAGGCCGAGCATTACTTGAAGGAATATCGCCTACCGCCTTTCATGCCAGAGCTTTAAACTGAGATCACTTTGCTGAAAAATTATAAAATTGTTGCCATTTTGGTCAAATCGCATTCAACAGCATATAGTGTTTGATGATGACCTCAGCCACTACCACACATTTTAGCTTTGTTTTTGTAAAAGTCACTGAATTACAGCCATTTTTTGTAATGACTAAAGCTGATTAGCTGAATTGGGTCAACTAGGAATTAAGAATTTAAAAAATGTATTGTCTTTTTTTTTTATTAAGAACAATGCAAAGTACTCTGTGTCTTTTACAGAGTGAACAATACAAAGTAAAAGTGAATAATAACCAGTAGATGTGAAAAGATTTAAAAAAAATAGACACTGAACAGTTAAAAAAAAACATCAAATTGCTATTTTTTTGAGCAGGTAATCAATCTGATTGCCTCTGCGGGAAATGTACTTATCTTCTGAGCGTTTCATTTTGCTAACAGACAGTTGAGCATATGAAGACAAAGGCATACACGTCATCTTACTTTTCAGCAGTGGGTGATAAAAATCATAGTCTGGTTCCTGATAGTAAGCTGTAAAAGCAACGAGGGGGTGGTTTAAAACTTTTGCACAGCGAGATCCCAGGGTTAGTCGATATGGTTTACACAGTCCTGCCACATGACACTGTGTCATCTCCCTCAGTGTTCTTTAGGATGTGCAATATCAGAGAATATGTGTTTTTAGAAAAATGTCTATTTGTCAGTCAGAGCACGACATGCGCTGAGTCATCTCTTCTCACACACACACACAGAGGAGCGTGTCGGGTGCCAAACAACATGCCTTCAGCAGATATTTGGTTTAAATCTCACAATATGCATCTCATAACCAGCAAACTTGTTTTCTTATTTGTTTTTAATTTAAGGTGATTCATAAAAAAAACTGAGCTTTGACTGATTTTCACATTTCTGCTGATACACATTCCTGTTCTTGTGTGAAACCAAATCCATCTACAACAAGGTGTTGTTGTTTTTTTTGGGTTTTTTTGCAGCTTTCTTAATCGCGTTTCACTGTCACTGGGTTTGATTTAGTTGTAAGGTAGGAAACAGGTGCTATTTCTTCTTCTTTGAGGGACATCAGTGTAGTTTTTGTTTTGCTGTTGAGACATCCCTCGAAATATTCCTCGCACAGAAAGAGGCAGCGGGGGACGCGTTTCACGGCCCCAGTTCCCAAAAAGTTGGGACGCCGTGTAAAACGTTAAAAAAAGACAATAATGACTTACAAATCTTACAAACCCACGCTTAATTCACAATATAGAACATCAAATGATTAAAATGAGAAATTAAAAGAAATCTGCTCATTTTGATTTGATGGCAGAAACGTATCAAAATAGTTGGACTGGGGGCAACAAAAGGCTGTAAAGGTAAGTGGTATGAATAAGAAACGTTTAAAAGTGTTTTAATGAGTTCAGTGGTGGCAGCTCATTACGAAGGAGCTTTTTGGAGAGTCTGAATCGGTTAGAAGTAAAGATGGGCACAGGTTCACCAGTCTGAAAAATTAAAAGTAGAATCTGGAAAAACCTAAAGACAGGACTGAAAGTATTGGATGGTCATGATCTTCAGACCATCAAGAGCTGCTGCGTGAAAAACAATCCTGATTCTGTTCTGGAAATCACTGCAGGGAGACAAACACTTCCACAGGTCATTGCAAACACAGCTCAGTGTGCCATCCATGAACAAAGCTCTATCATACAAAGAAGAAGCCACCATCCAGGAATGCTGCCAGCTGATCAGGGTCAAAGCTCTTTTCAAGTGGAGAAAGTGGAAACTGTTCTGTGGACTGTCGAATCAAAACTTGAAATCCTTTATGGAAACCACAAACACAGCATCCTCCATATTAAAGAGGAGAGGGACCAGGGCTTAATTTGTAAACTGATCAATGCCGGGAGGGTCTAGGAGTGCTCCTCTAGAATAAAGTACCGCTAGATACGATTTCCTGCATTTTGGTGTACGTTAGCGAGTTATTAAACATCTGTTTACCTACATTTGTAAACACTATGCTTCTGTCAAGCACCTTACATGACAGTTCAAAGCCCGACACTGTCCCTGCTCATTGTTGTCCGACTCCACGTGTGAAACCCCCAGGCGCTTGTGGGCTCCTGCCCATATTGACTGCCTGGTTCGTTCGGCACTCACCCCCACCACTCTTTTAGGGGTGGAGATTTTTTTAAGGGTAGACGCAGAAATGCTACTTGAAGGGGCAGCTTGTATTCTCGTAAGTGGCTGTTGTGTTTAAAATGAGTGTTTATGTAATTTCAGTTTAAATAACCAATATAAGTTTGATTCATTTCAAGGCAGTCATATTTGTTCATAACTTTATTATTAGTACTGTATTTTTTGGACTATAAGGTGCACCGGATTATAAGGCGAAATAAGTGAAACTAAAACATTTTGACAGATTTTTGAGCGCCGTGTACCGCATAAAATCAGTTCAAAGTCAGTCAGCATAATTAGAATTAATACATAAGGCACACCGGATTATAAGGCTCACTGTTGACTTTGGGAAAAAAATTTAAAGATTTTATAGTCCGAAAAATACGGTAAGCGTGAGTTACCGGATCCAAGCAAACAGTTACCGGAACGCATGCCGTCAAAATAAAAGTTTCCAGATCTTATTCCAGCAGGATCCAGCTCAAAAGCAAGCACTGAAAGGGACTATTTAACCTTTAATCAGCACACTGTTCAATACCCTGCCTCTCTGATGCTATGGGTGTGCATTATTGCCCATGATATGGGTAGCTTACACACCTGCACCATCAATGTGGAAAAGTGAAATGCGTGAAGTGCCATCAAATTAAAAATGACCTTTTTTTTTTATAGTACCATTTCTTCGTTTGGTCGTCTGATATTCATCATGACCTACTGTGAATAAAATGTGGGTTTATGAAATTTGCAAATCGTTGCATTTAGTGTTTATCATTTTACACAGCATCCCCACTTTTTCAGAATTTAGGTTGTACTTTAACTTGTTATGCAAATAAATTAAAAACTCGTTCGTGTCATAACCGTTAAATTAGATGTCACTAAAAGTTGTTTTGTTTTTTTACCTGTTTAAACAAACTGCAGTTGCTGTTCAGTGAATCTCACACGTAGCATCTGTTTATGGATAAAATATATATCTATTTTTCCATTCACTTGGGAGAAACGTGATTTAGTATTCCAGTAACTATAATAATAAAACAGTTTGAGAATGTATTCTTGCTGGGTTTGGTCAGATGAGTCTCTCTTTTTTTTTTTTTATCGTCTGCTTCAGATCCAAAAACGGTCACTTTCTGTCAGAAACACTTGAAGCTGAGTCACTTTGTTCCAGCTGCTGTCCGTCAAAGATGTCGTTCTCAGGCAGCTACAGTACGATCGGACCGGGAGGCCGTCATGAGCATAATCAGATGTTTATATTCTGAATGTTGAACCTTTTTATTTTGGTTAACAGGAGAAAATGATTTATGAGATTCAATAAAATGCAGTAAGACAAACTCTTCATTCTGGAGTTTTATTTTAAGTAAAAGGTGGAATTCTATCAATTCACTTTTTTTTTTTTTTTGCAGTGATAAAACGTTTAAATGAAGAAACGCACAGAGCTCAGTGTTAAAAATGAATTTATTATCTCAAAGGTTGTTCCTCGATGTGTCACGTGAACATTTTGCACAGATAGAGCTGAAGTTATATTCTAAGTCTCTGTGAAAACAGCCTTTTAATAAAAAATATGACTTTTTAAACTCTTCCACTAAACTGTAAAACATGGACTTTACACTAAAAACTTTGTTTAAAATCTGTTTTTTTAATATAGAGAAATATGAAAACCTTTTAAGTAGCTCTGGAAATGAATTATTAGGTTTTAAAACATGTTCCAATAATAAATGTTCCCATTTGTGAATGACTCGTTACAATTCTTTAAAACATTAACTTAACCAGTGTTTAAAAAAAAAAATTATTTTTGAGTTTAAGTTATCAAAATTTAACTTTATTTTGCACAAAATGTTACAAACTTCACACTTACGTGGTAAGATTATCCTTTTCTCTGTATTATCTCTTTTTAACAAAAAACAGATTTTTTTTCTCCAGTTTTAAATAAATAGTTTAAATAAGTTTTTAAACCTTAACGATGTTTTAGGCTGTTGTGAGTTTTCCAGAAGATATTAGTCATTGAGATGTTTTAAATAAATAAAAAATAAATAAAAAATCCAGCAGCTGCAAACAATCCACAATACTGACAAACAAAATAATTAAACATTTTGCAACAAACAGGAAGAAGCTGGCTCATTTATTTATAATAATAAACTTGACTGATTGATTCGTACAATAAAATAGCTTATTTTTTGGCTTTGCTAATTATTATTATTTTTTGCACATTTCTGCACGGCACCTTACGTAACATGGAGCTCCATAAAGGATTAAACAGATAATTTAAATGGTAAACTGCAAATGTAAACATTTTGTGGCCGCATGCAGAGCTTTAAACGCCTCCGTCCACAAAGCGCCGCTAAAGAGACGGCAGGGACACGAGCAGTTAGTAAAATTACTTTGTAAATATAGCAGAAACTTTTAGTGGTGAAAAAATACGCTTTATACGCTGTACATTGGAGTGTATGTGGAAGTACATTCATGTATTTGTATTTACCGTATGAGTGCAAAGAACTTTTTAAGGTCTTTTAACTACATACACAGCATTTCTCATCCAAACATGTTATAATAATACTATGGAAATGTAAATATACTGTACCTTTGACTCTTAAAAAAAAAAAAACAGCTTAGGCACGTATATTTAAATATAAAAAACAGACACAAAAAGTTACCAACTGTTTGCAACGCAAGTAAACTTTTGCAAATTATATCAATCTTGGCTTCACGATACTGTACATCAGTGCATTTTATACTGCACAGAAATGTATGAAACACTTTGATACAAAAATATTCATCTAGAATGCAATAAAGTTTGCAGTAGAACGGAAAATAGTATATAAACACCAAAAAACAGGTGGGATATCATACATAAACTGTTTAGGAATAAATAACGTATAAAACTGGTGCAACAGCACAACATTTGGGGGAATATTACCAGCTCTCGACAAGATTTTTCATTTTTACATTCTGGATTTGCAGTCGTTCAGTTCCTCGGGGACATTTGTCGTCTTAGTGTCTGCTGCCTCCATGTGGACAGTAGTTTCTGGTCCCTAGCTGATTCTCTGCAGCAGTTTGTCTTCGATCAGTTCGAACTGAACGCTGACGGACATTTCTGCCACGAACTGCTCGCATCCCTCCTTGGTCACCTGTTTGCAGTACCGCAGGTCGATGTGGCAGATGCTTCCACAGCGTTTGAAATAGGTCAGCGACTGGTCGGTGACCCGGTTGCAGACTGAAAGAGGAGGAAATGAGTTGGAGAGGAATTAAACGGCGCCGACAGGTTTGCATGAAAATAATTGAGGGTGGATTAATCGGATAAATAAATCTGAAAGCTCGATAACTAGAAGCGTTTGTGGATTGGGTTTCTTTCAGGTTCTGTTGAATGTTTCGGAGGGTGTGACCTCCAGACAGGCGGACCATTTGAAAAAATGTCCCAAAGACATTTCTGATTCTCCTGCTCCAAATATTATATATCCAGCATCAGTGTTGCCATCATAAATTTGTGTTAAAGATGTCATATTAATTAAAGCATTGGTCCTCAAAGTGGAGGTCGAGACGCCACCATGAGTCGCAAAATATCAAGTTTGAGGTCTTTAAATGAACTGAGACCAAATTAAATTTAAAAAATGTTTTTTAATAGCTTTGTTTTGTTTTGTCATAATCATTATGAGCAACAATAATATTCCTGTTGTGGTCACTAGTCTTATTTAATTGGCATACAGTAGTCCCTCGCTACTTCGCGATTCGTTTATCGCGGACTCGCTCTATCGCGGTTTTTCAAAATAAGAGTGGACATGACGCACAACTGGCTGATTGATGGATGAGCCGCACGATCAGCATGGAATTTTTATTTAAAATAAATTATTTTGAAATATTTAGCACCTCCTGTACCTTGGTGCAACCCTTACTGCAGGATAAGCTTCCTGCTGCAGCTGATCAGCTGATCGTGACGAGAGGAAAAAGTGGGCGTAGACAAGAACATCTGCAGGTGGCTGAGAGCAGCGGAGGCAGAGAGCTGAAATCGTGACATTCTGTGCTCTTTTAGAGCGTTTGGAGTTTAGAAGCATTGTTTAGAATATTGCAAGAGTGAAGGAAGGGTTTAAAATACTAAAATAAACTTCTACTTGTACTACTATTCCTACTCCGTGGCTTTTCACTTATGGCGGGGCTTCAGGGTACAGATCCCCTGCGATAAACGAGGGACTACTGTAATTGTAATATTTGTCAACTTTACCCAAACAGTTGAGTTCACAAGTTTCTGCTGCTCAGATCACTTGACTCAGTTTTCATTTATTAGTCTACACAACAGTTTTCTACATTACAGTTTTGTTGTTGTTGCATGTTTAGTTATAACAGATTCTGAATCCCTGCAACAGACACTTTTAGAGATTTTGCGTCTCTACAGAATTCGATTCATTATTTCGCAAATGTTTTGGCCTTTTTTTATATATAAATATCCTTTTTTTTTTTAAATCCTCGAGTTATTTCATGAAGTTGAATTTGACTCTTATCAGATGTTCTTTTTATACTTAAGCTAATTTCTCAACTCTCACTTGCAAATATTGCTGGCATCAAATTAAAAAAGCACAATCTGAAAAATGTATTTAAAAAAAAAAAAAATCACAATTTCTTTAAGATTATAGGACAAAACTAATTTCTAAATTGTTGCAATATTCATTTTCTTTTTTACATTTGCACAAAGGTCCTCTGCTCTTATGGAACTGAAATAAAGGGTGACTTTGAGTATGTGATAAAGCTGCAAAACATTACATTAACAAAGCGCCTTTTTGTAATTTTGTCATTCTGTCACAGCACACAGCCTCTGAAGAATAAGATAAAATATGTAAAAACACCAGTGTTGATACACAACTAAACATTTAAACTCGGACGTGAGTCAGTGACAGAAGTCTAACAAAGTGAGGTTTACAGTCAACTACGACTGACCCGTACCTGACAGGTTGATATCAGTGAGCGAGTCTCGGGTCGTGGTCCCCGCAGCGGTCAGGATGTTGACGGACTGATCCGTGACGTGGTTACAGTAACTCAGGTCCAGCTTAGACAACAGAGGCATATAGCGAATGATGAGGCGCAGACACGTGTCTGTGATGTCCAACCCCGCCAGACGCAGGTCCTCCACGTTACGCAGCTTGCTCCTGTTGTCCATCTGACCTACAACAACAAAAGAAAAAGGACACTTTCACAAATGCATCATAAAAATTGAACGTTGAAATTTTTTTAAAATGTTCAGAATGAATGTGAGTTTTATTGGATCTTCTCTTTGGTCACAATCATTTATCAAGCGACAAGTCTGAATGACAGCATGGACGGGAGCTCTGCTTCGACTCACTTTTTTTTTTGCTCCTTTTGCTTTTGTTTCAACTTTTTTGTGCCTACACTGTACACCCACGGTACGGGCATGACTGCAACGCAATTTTGGAGTTGTGTGTGTTGCTGTGTGGCTATCGTGGTTCAGTTCCCGGCCTCCTTCCAGCCTTGGGCTCAGGCTCCGGCCCGTCATGGCGTCGTCTCCTTGATCCTCGTTCTGCCTACATGGACTGAACTCTACAGACCAGTTCAGTTCTGCAGGGAAACCTTGGATGTTCTGCATCTGACAGACCCGGTTCTGTAGGGCAGTCTGGGTGGGTAGTTGGTGAGGTCGTCATCATCATCCTGCTGCTAACAGGACCTGCTAACAGTATCATGCTGCTAACGGGACTATGTTGTTAAGAGAACCACTCTGCTAATTGGGACTAGGCTGCTAACAGAACCATACTGCTAACAGTACCATGCTGCTAACAGTACCATGCTGCTAACAGTACCATGCTGCAAACAGTACCATGTTGCTAAGAGAACCACTCTGCTAATTGGGACTAGGCTGCAAACAGAAACATGCTGCTAACAGTACCAAGCTGCTAACAGTACCACGCTGCTAACAGTACCATGCTGCTAACAGTACCACGCTGATAACAGTACCACGCTGCTAACAGTACCACGCTGCTAAGAGAACTACTCTGCTAATTGGGACTATGCTGCTAATGGGACCATGTTGCTAAGAGAACCACTCTGCTAATTGGGACTATGCTG